AAAAAAAAAAAAAAAAGCAAAAAAAAGGCTGGTATGATATTTTGCAGGTCATAAAAAAGACTAATAAAAGTCTTCACTCCAAATAGTGTGTGGGCATAATGATCAAGTGGATGTGATGGAGGATAGCGTGAAGTCACCAGATGATGCTCACTCGTTTGCCGTACCAGCTTTTACGTGTTTACGTTTCTATTATTCCCCTTTTTACTCACACAGGCGTTCACGTACGGGCGAGGGAAAGTATGCCCGCGGTCATCCGAGGGTGGAGGGTGTGCACTCGCGTGAACATCTGTAGCACCGCGATGGACATCTCAACGCACGAAGTGGAAAAAAAAAACCCAAAAGGGGTAGAAGCGGCACTAAAGGAAAAAAAGAATACGTAAAAAAAGGTAAAGTGACCTTTAGTGACGAAATGTGAGTGCGGAAAAAAAAAGAAAAAAAAGGGCTTAGCCCAACGTGTGCGCGGCGGAGTCTCCGCCCGTCCAGTTTGAAGGCTTGTTGCAAAGAGTTCCACCGAATGGATGTAACTCACGGGTTGCTGAACAAAAATGAGTCGAACAAATTTCACTACAAACGCAACAAAAAAGTGGTGACAAAACAGTGTAGAAGGTTAGTTAAAGCTCATTGTGTGCATTAAAGATCCAGGTGGGTGAACCCCACAGGAGGTTGGGGTAGCCTTTTCAGCAAAATCAATTAGTAGAGTTATTTCTTAATTTAAAACAATATAAAATGAACACATCTTAATTTGTGGCCACGGGGTAATCACAGGAGTGTTGCACATTTCGAGGAATAAAATTGGGGAGCAAATGGATCTGGCAATTTGGTATATGGGCAAATGGGCAAAATGGCGAGTTGGTCACGTGACGAATTGGTGACGCGCCGAATTGGTAGTTTACTAAATGGAAACCCGCAACTTGACGAAGTGCCGAAGCGGACGTCGGGTCACCTCTTAAAGAAAATAAGTGAACTTGTCAGCCTGTTTAGATCGCGCGCCCACTTACTCCGTTAAAAGTGGGAGGAAAGCCATGAGTTGAGGTAGCATGTAGTGTCGAGAAGTACTAACATGGAGATTCTTTTGTTTTCTTTTATTCTATTTACTTTTTTTTCTTCGCTTTACTTTTTTTCGTTCACTCTACTTCTTTTCGTTCGCTTTACCTTTTTTTTGTTCACTTCTTTTTATTTACTTTTTTTTTTATTCACTTCTTTTTATTCACTTTATTTTTTTTTTTGTCATGATTTAATTTCCATTATAATTTCTTTAGCAATTTTTCCTTTGCATGCGCGATGTAGAAGCAGCCGCATTTTGTATGGTGTGTGTTTCCTAGGGGGGGTGGGGGGTAATTTCGGGTTCTTTAGAAAAGGGGGGGGGTTACAAAAGAAACCGAGGCATCCATGGAAAAGGCGTCACCACGTTGAAAAGGAAAAAAAAACAAGAAAAAGAAAAAGTCAAATAATAGAGTTAAATTAAATTCACAAAGGACACACCTAGGTGAGCAAATGCCATATTGTTCATTTTTTTTTCTTTTTTTATGTACCCTAATTTACCAGAAAATTAAGAAGCTAGCCACCGCGCAAATGTGTAACCTGGTTCGATCTGCGTCCCTCCAGAAAAAAGAAAAAAAAAAAAAAAAGAGGAAGGCCAAGAGGAGGACTGAGAAGAGGACGTAGAACAGTTAGAACAACAAAAACCAGCGGGTGAGAGAACAAATCACCAGCCATGATTATTAAAAAATGTGTACCAGTTTGTTTTCCCCTTCGCGAAGTGCGTCTTCTCCGATTTGTTCTGGTGGCCAGGTTAGCTGCTTGGCATTTATTGTCACATTAAAAAAAAGGAAAAAAAAAAAGAAAAAAAACGTTCAGGTGGAAGGAGGAAAGAATAGCCCCCCTCCAAAGAAAAGAAAAACACGCAAAAGGTAGGGGCTTCATGCCCTCGCCGTAATGTGTCATTTGTGGAAATTGCATTAGAACAAAGTGGAAAGTACTCTCGCGAATCGTTTCGCAATGAGGTAAATTAACCTTTGGGTTCGCCATCGTCACTGAGAGGTTGTTACTCGCACGGTCGTGTTTGCCAGGTTAGCGCGGGAAGCATCCCAGTTCGGCTCCCAAGGTCAGACGCATCACCGTTTGAGACGGCGTCAGTTACCCATGTGTAAATTTTGGGGGATAATACCACCGACCATTTTTTTCTGCCAGATTATGCGAAAGTTGCGCGTTCCGAATTGATTTTTTTTCGCGCTCACAGCAGCTTAGACGACGATAAATTAACTCCCGCGCAGTGCGGATCAAGACACTGAGTATGGAAGACTAGTGTGTGTGGGCTCTCTCCCCATGACGCGATGAAAGGCGATCCCGAAGGAACTGCCGCAACAAGGCAGTTGCCACAATTGGGGAAAATATAACGTCTTTTTTTTTTTCTTTTTTTCCCGATTCGTGTGACCCTTTACATTTGGTATTTCCTGATGGACGGCTAGAAATTGCGGGCAGTCACGGGCAATGTGCCACTTAAAGAAAAAAAAATCGCGCATGGATTGACAGCGCTGGCAGAGGGGGCGACCCTAGGGAGTTGTTAATTTATCCCACCATGTGGTTCACTTTGTCCTCTGTTGCCCGTTCTTTTACCCGTTTTGTTTTTTCTTAATCTGCTGCGCTTGGTCATTAGTTGGGGCGACGCTTCCTCACCATTTGGAAAAGCGTCCGGCATGGGCTTTTTTGCCGTGCGGAGACGGTTATAAAAGAAAAAAAAAAAATAGTTGTACGTTGTTATGATGCTTAAAATGTGGAAGGAGAAGGAACTCCAAAGGTTCCATTGTTCAATGCGTGGAAAATGTGTAGGGGAAAATAAAAGCGAGTGACCATCCTATGCTGCTGCTCTGTGTGTTTCCACCTTGTGTGACCCCTCCTCCTGCCTATGCTGTCCCCCACTTTTACGGGTGCGTTACACGTTGCTGCCGAGGGAAGGAGTAAGAAGGTAGTGAAAAAACCCCAAGGAGGGGGGGTGAAATGAAACAAAAGATGGCACAAAAGGTGGAACATAAAATGGCGAACAACATAGCGAACAAAACAGCGCGAAGTCAAGGGATCACATTCGTCCTTCGATTGAAACTCGCCTTTTCCACGCGCACAACGGACACCATGTGGACGAAGCCATGTCCCCTTGCTCCAAAGATTGTTCCCCAATTAATACAAAATTATAAGCCTTGGAAATGAGGGTACACACAAAAAAAAAAAAAAAAAAAAAAAAGAAAAAAAAAGCTGTTAACATTGTGGGAAACATTTAAACTTCGCTGTGAAGGCATAAAAAGTTGCAACTTCATTTTTTCTTTTTTATATATTAGGCCATTTCCTTTTTGGCTATTGATCGTTGCTTCCTTTTTTTTTTTTCTTCCGTTTTGTTTCATTGCCCCCCTGTGTGGTCACCTTCGCGAAACGCAAAAAAACACAACACAGCACACACACATCCCTCTCTTAATAGTATAGCATAGGAGACAGAAAGGACGCGAATGTGTAAAAATGCAAACCGGCCCTGCTGAGGAAGGAACCCCTGTGGAGGACGCAGGGGAAACCGTGCCTCAGGACGGTACCAAAGACCACAATGAAAGTTGCACGGAGCAGGCGAGAGACTCTCCAAAGAAGTAACAAGAAAAAAAAAAAAAAAAAAAAATCACACTTAAGATGAGAGAAACACACCTATTGTGTATACCCATTTGCGCACAGAAATGGAGGAGAGTTTCAACTGCTGTGCGGAAAGGGGGAGTGACCCATCTGAAGTGATATGACCGCCGCTAACTTGGTGTGGGCTTGGCCAGCAGCAGAGTGAATCTCCAGACTCGCACCCTTCCATGGGGACACTCGTCCAAGACAACATTTTTATCATGGGGTATTCGAAAGTGTGCTGCGCAGTGGAGATTCCCCTGCTGGGGTTGCCTCCCCCCCGATTTCAACAAACAGACTAGCGGCTAGAACGATGAAAACTTCACAAAGGGGATGATACACCCATACAGTTTGACGCGCGTAGCAAAGCATTACACACTTGGTGCCGGTGGAAACGAGGGAGAGGACATCTGCCGGGTGCCCACGCGGGGACATACCTCCATGCGCGCACTGACCGACTCGAATTTGTTCCCATCCACCATCTCCATGTAACTCCCATTTCACAGAACTGACCTAACCGATGTTAACAGAAAGAATCAGTCGGTGAATGGCTTTGCCGCTAACATCGCCATGGAGGCCCTTGCGAAGGCATCCGCGTAAAAAAAAAGAAAAACGAAAAAAGAGAAAGAAGCGAGAAAACACGTGCAACTAAATGTAACCGCTCACCACATTCTAAAACATCTCTTTGCTGAACCGATTGCTGCTCCTCTTTTTTGCGTCTCTTACTTGACCTACCAGACATACCCCCCCCACCCCTTCCTCCTTTCCTTCCTTCCCTTTTCTTCCACCCCATCGATGCAGATTTATTTCAAAAAATGAACGCATCCACAAGGAGTACAGCGGCGTGGGGCTAAACGACCCAGAAGATAACCAGAACTCGTGGGAGCGCCCGGACGTCAACGGAAACACTGTATCCCCGGGTGGTGTGAAAATCGGGCCAAGCAGGAATGTGTAAGGATGGAAAGAAGGGCGCTCATGCTGAAGTTTCACTGCGTGTATGTCAGCAAGCTGCTGCACGGAAGTAAGCCTACACCACTCCGCGCGCACATATATGCACCTCTTTTTTTTTTTTTTTTTTTTCTCCATCTCTGCAGCTTACAAGGGGCTCACTTCATCATGCCGGGAACGGACAAGGAACTGCAGGAAAAACTGAAGAACCGACGGTCTACCATGTAAAAGGGGAAGTCGCCCCCTTGGTCACTTCACCACGTTGCTTCTTTGCGACAAATTTGCCATAGTCTTTTTGGTGACTTTTTTGGTCATTCTTTCGATTTTTTTCTTTTTTTTTTTGATTTATTTTCCATTTACCCGCACCTGCTTCGACCCCTCCGCTTCATTGATTCCTTTTTTTCCACCCAGTTAAATCTGTCTTAGCAATGCCCGGCATCGCGTCGGCAGAGAACTTCCAACCGCCGATGATACTCCCATGCAAGCGTGTCTGTAGGTGTATATGTGCGACCTTGTGTGTAATTTTTTTTTTTTTTTTTTTTTGCGTAGAGGCGCGTCGTCTGCCCAGATCATGCTCAATTGCAGAACATTGCAAAGGAACGAACTCTCCTCATTTTTGCAAAGCACCCAAAAGGGGGGGGGACGGTATTCTTTCTTCTTCACTCGTAAGTTTTGCACACAAAGGCACGTTTTCGTTTGCTTTAATCACCATAGTTCGGAACCTCGTTGGGGTTACAACAGACTGTGATATGTAGAATTACGCGCCCTAAGTGACGTTCCTCGAGAGGAGGTTCTTTTCCCACCATATGTGGTTATTACCTATCGTTTCAATTGGGCCTTCTTTCAAGGAGAAGCCTGCACAGTGGAAAGAACGCACCATTAAAAAATGACCAAATGAGTGTTACCAATAGCAAAGACACATGGGAAGCATTAACATCGCTATAACGTGCGGTCTTCTTTCTCTACTCACTTCATGGCGACATCTGTCTCCTCATCCCTTATTGGGTTTTTCATTCTTGGAGCACTCAGTAACGTTTGTCCTCCTCCAGTGAGGCATCCCCCATACCCTCACGTCTTTGCTTACGTGTCTGTTCCTTTCTCCTCATTCTATGTTTGGACAAACCAGAACATGTCGTTGTTCACGTTGCGGGGTTCCCTCTTCAACGTTGTAGTGCTTGGGTGAGGACCCCATCGACATTCGTTCTTCTTTTTTCCTGGTCGGGCATTCGAAGAGGTGCTTTTACAAAATGAGTTGCTCTTCCTGGGCATACAAACTCATGTGTGTATCGTTTTGTGCAAACAATAGGATGGAAAAGGGGGGAGTCCAAAATGGGCGTCGAGGGGGGGAGGGGCAGGGATTTTTCTACCCCCTCCGGTTAATCAATTTTTTTTTTTTTTGCGTAAAATAGGCTGCTAGGTTGACCGTACAAGTTCACGTAGCAAACAAGACGATTTTGTTTTAGCTGTTCTTTTTCTTACCCTTTGGCTTCCGTCCTTTTGCTTTTATCGCTCCCCCTTTTTCCACCTTCCTTTTTCTGCTTTCCTTTTTTTTTGCCCACGCAACCTGCGTGCAGCTGAGGAAATCCCCCCGCGGGCGCAAACCAAAGCTGCGTGACAACGAAGCATTTAAAAAAAAAAAGTTTCGAACCAATTTTTTCTAATTCCTACAAAAACTTGCCATGAAAAAAAATTTCAATGGAGGGATCGCCGCGTTGATATTTCTTCATTAGCGGCGGTTGAACTTTTTTTTTTTTTTTTTGTTTCCCCCTCCCGTTCAAGTGGAAAAGTGCGTGAACATTTGCGTACTTGACATTTTTAAGCATGGCGGAGAGCTCCTGTGCAAGCGAATATTTCGGTAGGCATATTCAGCTGCGCAGGTCTTGTTTCGCCTCGTTCATTTTGGCCTTTTGTCCTCGCTTCTTTGTGTTTTCTTTTCCTGTTGCTTTTTTTGCCTAGCCAGTGGTCGCGCTGAAGCGTGGGCTGCCTAGACGGACGCACCAACCAGTCGGCCTGCCGCTACACTAGACAACCGCTTCATCACCGTTCCGCTTCTCTTCTTTCTCTCCTTCTCAGTTTCGAACTTGCCGTACGATGTGACAGAGGAGGAGCTAAAGGATTTTTTTAAACCAACATGTGAGGTTACCTACTGCAGGTGAGGAGAATGAAAAAATATATCTCCTCGTTGCATTGCTGAATGTGGGAACTGTAGCCAACGCGAAGGTTCCTTATTTGAGGCACCTAAAGAGGGCTACTAAATGTGAGCATCCAGAAGATTCACATCAGTGTCATACGTTTTTGTCTGTACCGCTTTCCCCACCTATGTGCAGAGTGAAGAGAACAAAGATCGGCATTAAGACCTGCCACGGATACGTACAGTTCGGGGGCAATCCGAACGGTGTAGCGGCGTACGCGCGAAGGAAGAAGCTCAAGGGTAGGCAGTTGCGCATTGAATTAGTGGAAAATGGAAACGACGATCAGGAAGACGATGAGGAGGACGACGGAGCGGAAGACGGGGAGGGGTTCCCTCCGTGGCAGAAAGGCCATCGAGACGGTCGGCACCCCAGTAAAGGGTCAACCAAGCAGCAGAAAGAGAAGCAGGCAAAGTATAGAGACAAATGGAACTCAAATAAAGAGAATGAAAGTATCGAACTTATTGACAAAAAAGGAATGATAACAAAACAGGGACATGCAATTCTTAGTAACATGAACATGTATGATGTGGTGCTTCTGATTGATAAAATGCAGCAGCTGATTAGAGTCTCCCCACAGACAGCCATTAGATTTCTCAGTGACAATAAAACGGTGTACTACTCCCTCGTCCATGCTCTTTTCCTTGTGGGTATTCTAAGCATCGAGATGAATCCCCTTAGTGAGGAGGACATCATCCGGATGAAATTTCATGCCCTTAAGAATAAGTTCCAGTTTTTGTGTCTGGACAGCGAGGAGCCAGGAGAGGTAGACGCTTTGGGGGGGAAGCAGCGCCACAAGGGGGGGGGTAGCGGCTGGAATGAGGTCGATTGGGGTAACATCGATTGGGGTGAAGCTCATAGGAGTGCTACCGAATGGAGAGATGCGGACCGGGGTGCTTCTGAACGGGGTGCTTCTGAACGACTTGATGCTGACCGGGCTGCTTCTGACCGACGTGGCTCAGATCCAGGGGAGGGGAGCGACCGGGGAAGCCAGCCATGGGGAGGCCAAAATTACAACTACGAGCCGAGTGGCAGGAGGCCGCTGTACGAGAGGGGAGGAAAGGTGAACGCAGTTAACATGCCGACACCCTCATCATTGACGCATATGGGGGGAAAGAACCAGCCGGGGAGTAACAGGAAAAATGTTTCCAGAGGGCTCTATTCCGCAAGTCAGAGTGCCTCTTATGGAGGAAATCTTAACAACTATGCTTCGATCAACCATGTGTATGTGCCGTCGGAGGGAGGTCAGAGCGGGTACCCAGTGGACAGGGATTCTTCTTTTGGAGAAATGGAGAGGGACGCAGTGAAGACAGAGGCAGTGAAGGGAGAGGCAGCGACCGGGGAGGCCGCGACGGGGGAGGACCAAATGGTTCGATCGAATTTGTATGGAACGGCTGGAAGCACGCACCACTCGCGGCAGCAATTCACCCCGCTTAACCTCTCTATGAACAAGAGACGGGGAGACCCCGGCGGGTACCCCCTCCAGGGGATCTACTCCAAGAAGCACACAATGAAGGGAGAACAAGGGGAGAGAAAAAATAAGAAAAACAGTAAGGAGAGTAGTAATCCAAAGAAGCTAAAGAACCTTACCAACATGATGCCCCTTGGAAGCAAAGCGGTAAGTGGCAAACTATCTGCAGGTGGCGGCAGCAGACCCGTCGACTATGACAGTGACAGTATGCAGGGAAATCCTAACCCGTGTCATTACGGACAGGAATTTCCCAGTGGAAGGAGCACAGGGTTGTATGCAATGCGTGGTCATGTCAATACAAAGATGGAAAAGGAGACTTATTATTCGAATTATTACGCTAGGGATTATGTTGGAGAGCAGCGTGGGGAGGAGGAAGGGACAACCCCGTTTGATGCACAGATCAATTACAATGGGGAAAGGAGCAACTTACGCATGAAGTGTTATAACGGTATGTCACAACTAAGGGGGAACAACCCCCCAGAGGGATGCTCATCCGAGAGAACGAAAGATAACATAAGTAACTGCGAAAGAAATGATGGGACGTACCAAAGTGACCATAGCGAGGTGAGTGGAATCGATGCTAGGAGCAACCAAGGAGGCAATCGTACAAGGGGGGAAGCCATCGGAGGACAATCTACCTCGGTACGAAACTGGAGGCGCATGTCCAGAAAAGGTCATTACCAGGGAGACAGCGAAGCAGCGCGGAGCGATATACACACAAGTGACCACGAAGGAGAAAACAGAGAAGAAGAAAAACATCTCGAATTGGGGAAAAGGTTAATCCAAAAAATTAACACGTCCAATAGCCAACGGAGGGGTATCAAACTAATCGACAGGAACAGGGGAAATGAAAAATACGCAGAAGAGAGTGTCATTAAGGTAAGAAGTGTAGACCTATGTAATGAAGTGGAAAATATGAAGGAAAATCTGATAAGCAGTAGCCTGAAGGCCGTATTGAGAAAAGTAAACCTTGGCTTGAAAGACATTCCCTATGCTGAGGAAGACTTAGTAAAGGAAGTGATTAATGAGAAGCCCATCTTAGAGAACATCCTCATTAGTAAATACTCCGACATGGTGAACTGGAACCGCGACCAGATATTGCGAGTCCTGTCCATTCGGAAGTCGCTGAAGAGTCGCGGCTACAACGTCAACGGGGTGATCTGAGGGGGGCAAAGCAGGAGGAGGAGCAGCACCAGGAGCAGCACCAGGAGCAGCACCAGGAGCAGCAGTAAGATACCTCTTCAAGCTTGCTCCCGAAGGGGGGTGTTCATTTGGGAACGTCCTTTTCGCGTCCTTTCCGTGTCCTTTTCGCCTCCTTTGATCGTCTTTTTCTCCTCCTTTTCTTATCCTTTTCTCCTCCCTTTCTCTTCCTTTTTTTTTTTTTTTTTACATTTTTTTTTTTTTTTTTGTGTACATTTTTTCCTTGGAAAACTTTCCAGTGTCAAACGGTTTTTTTAAGTGGCACGCGGCGGAAAAGAAAAAATATAAAAAAATAAAAGAGAAGTAAAAAAAAAACTAAAAACGCAAAATGAAGGGCTAGCAAATGAAGGGCTGGCAAATGATGGGCTAACAAATGAGCCGCTAACAAATGAACCGCTAACAAATCGCAAAGATCAAATTGTCCCGATCAAATGGCGACGGAGGGACGAACGAACGGATGGAACATCTTCAAAGCGCTTGGGACGCGCCTCGTGCATTGTTGCCTCCACCCGGGTGGGTCCCGCGCCCCCCTTTCTTGACCCTATTGTGTAGTTTCGTATGCTTCGTGTGCAGCTTGCCAAAGCTCTGCTTCTGCACATAGACGCGTTTGATGCTGTTCCCCAACTCGTCCATTTGGACGTTCTTTAATTTTTTCTTGCTTTTCTTCTTTAACTGTTGGTCGATATTTTTGGTTGCCTCTTCGAATAGGTGGTAGCCTGCAATCTGGTGATTCTCCAGAACAAATTCGAAGCGTGGGCCGACCTCCTCCAGGGGGGGAGGAGCATCACTTGTCTGTGGGTGGCAAAAATGCTCCTTCGTAAGTAAGTATTGGCGGAAGGAGAGCAGCTGGTTTGTGGTGCCACCCCCGCTCAGCGAGGTAATCACGATGAGGCGCTGCACTGAGGAGCTGCTCACACAGTCGACATTCCTATGTTTGAAGAAATCAAAGAGGACATTTCGCAGATTCTTCGTAATGTCAGTCTCTTCGAAGTAGGACCCCTGAATGAGAACAATCGGTTTGGTGTCACACAAGACGTCCTTTGCACGGGGAAACATTTTCATAGGAATGTACGAGAGGAGAGTAAAGACGTAGAAGTCAAACAACTTGTTGTTATATAATCTTCCTATAATAAATCTGGACGGCTTCTTCTTCGTGGAGAAAACGGACAGAAAAAAGGAGCAGCTATTGTGTACGCATATGTCGACTACCTCATTCAGTTTCGTTTGGATGTCAGCCAAGTTCGGGTGCACTTTGGGCATGTAGCATGTGAAAGGTTTCTGTAGATTGTAGAGATCCTGCATGAAGCTCTTTAGCTCCTCCGTCCTCTTGTTGCTACAAATGAATAAGCAGTTTTTGGAAGACTCGTGTAACTCTCCCTTTCGCTTTTTCAGGATTAGGTTACCTTTTCTCGTCTTCGCCTTCCCTTCCTCCAGCCGCTCAATGATTTCTTCCTTGCTTTGCTCGTCCTCCATTTTGGAAGGGGGGCCTCTCAAAAGGGGGAACCACACGTCAGGAAACCTACACTAAACGCCAGAAGACCTACGCGAAAGAGCCCCTCCTCTAAACGGTATGTACGCCTTCACGTTTGTGCCTTCCTCTGCTGCTTCCAAAAAAGGGTCCGTTTTCCTTCTATGACGTGTGGCGTATCGCAGACGTTTCTGCCCGGGTACACTACGTTGGCATGCGGATTGGGTGATTATCTCCAAGGAGTCTTACAACTTCTTCCCTAGTTCTGCCCTACTCTTCTCTTTCCTGCTTCTCTCCCTTCTCAGCGTCTCCACGTTAGCTACTGTAGCCGCTGCAAGTGATATGTTGCCACTCCCTCCAGCGGGTGATAGGGACACCCAGCGTAGCGAAACAGACGGGAGTAAAAAGTCTCATCCGTTTTGATCACTGAGGGGCGACGTTACGCACAAGTATACATAGGCACATGCATACACGGAATTTTCTATTTTTCCGCTGCGCTCCTACGGTTGGGGGTAGAATAATGCCGCCGATGGGAGGAAAAACATTATGATGGAACCTCGCGAAGAGGCAGCCAGGGGCAACAGGAAAAAAAAAAAATCCCCTTCAGATGTGATGAGAAAAACACTCCAGGGTTACGCGACGCTTTCTAAAAAATGGGGGATACAAATCAGTTTGGGGGAACGTGGTACCACTTGGGAAACATTCCACTCGAGAAAGTTCATAAACATGTTCATACGGATTTAGATACGTGCATAGATGATAGTAATGGCAAGCATCTCTATCTACGTGGAGTTATAACCCTCCTTTTTGCGCCTCTTTTCCCCGACGGGGTGAGAATCGGAAAAAAAAAAAAAAAAAAAAAGAGCAACTCTGCGGGCCACCTACAACGGGGAAGATGTTTTTTCAAAAAAAAGGAAAAAAAAAAAAGTGGGAAAAAAAAGTCGCACCCTTAATATATCCCCGCGTGGAGGGTTATACATGAATGCTTACATTTTTATGTAGCCGTATATGACGTATGAAGGCGCCCCTTCCTTATGCGGAGCCGCTCTGTATTTATTTCAAAAGTTGACTGCTTCATTTTAGCAACTATAGCCAAGCGGGATAAGGAAGCATTTTTTTTATTTAGCTGCAGCGTAGGGGAGAATAAATCGAAGCCTCGCCATTTTAATCTGCGCCAAGGGGGGGGTAGGATGCCGAAACGCCCTCTTTTTAATGGGCATCACTTTGTCGAGTTATGCTCATTTCACTGCAATTTGTGAGTTTTCCAACGGTCTGGGGAAGGGAGGTGATGATAAAAGAAACCCGTCGTCCCGTTAACGCTGCTGCCGATATGTAGTTAGCTATACTGATTGGTCAGTCTCTCTGTCGCATTTTTTTTTCTTTTCTTTTTTCCCACCGCGTTGTTATTTTGTAACGTATGCTTTACCCACCAAGGGAACCCTCACCCATTGGCTACTTCTGTGCGTACAACTGCGCATACTACTGTGCCTACTTCTGCATCGCCTGCTGCTCTCCCTGTGGTTGCTTCTCCCATTTTATCTGTGGAACAAAATGAAGGCACTTCCAGTGGCGGTAGACCGGATCGGGAAGAAGAAGAAGGAGAAAAAGAAGGAGAGGACCCGCCACAGCAACAACGGGGAAGAGGTTCACACAAAAAAGAAAAAAAAAAACGGCACGGAGAGTCTCGTGAAAAAGAAGGGAAAGACATCCGCGAAGGAGGACGCCGCGAGGAAAATTCTAGAAAAGTTGAAGCGGATGGGGTTACTGGGGGGGGAGAAACGAAGCAAGAAAGGGAAAGGGGTAGTGAGGAAGCACCAAAAGGAGGCAACCAAGTTGAGGAAGATTACCCAGAGAGGGAGTCTATTGAGGGAGGAAACCCGCAGATCCCCCTTGGGGACAGACCCGGACGACTGCGCTGAAGCAAAACGGTCGGCCCAAAACAAAGCCCTCCTCGCGAAGAAGAGAAAAGAAATAATGATCAGGTTACCCCCCATTGAGGGGAACAACGAATGGCTGGAAAAGTTAGACCTGACGTGTTCAGAAAACTTTTACTTAAAAAAAATGAAATTGTTTGGAAACTGCCCAGTGAGAGAAAGTGAATTCATGAGGCTCACACATGAGAATGTAGTAGACGGTCTGAAGAAGCTCCAAGACCTACATATCTCCTTTAACAGGCCATACGACTTCTTGGCCGACATGATTAAGAGTGACGTGCACATGGAGAGAGTAAGACAGAAGATTGTAAAAGATCATGAGCGGGTGGAAGAGAAGGAAAAGAATAAAATAAAAAGAATGAACAAGAAATTTAATAAGAAAAGTGGCTCTGCAAAAGTGGCTAGCCAAATGGAAGCTATAGAAAAAAAAAAAAATTTGCAGAAAATCGACCAGCTGCGGAAGGAAGATAAGCTTAAGACGCTCAACGTGCAGGAGTTTTTTCTGAGGCACTCTAAGTCGGACCAAGAGAAGGGCCGACGGGGTAGGAACGAAGAAAGCGTTGGGAAGGGGAATAAACAAAGGGATGGAAAGGAGAATGCAAAAGCGGATCGAAAGGGGAAGACAAAGAGCGATCGAAAGGGGATGACACAGAACGATCGAAAGGGGAACACACAAAGCCACCGAAAGGGTAAGGCACGCTTCAAGACGAAAAAGCGAATTAAGAAGAACAAAAAAAATAAAGGCAAGAAGAATTTCAAGAGGCGTTAGGCAGACGGGCACATATACACCTGCGAGTGTGTAGACGTATGGACGTTCATGCCTCCGCATATGAGCAGGAATCCTAATGTCCCTGCTCATCCGCCTCTTTATACCCACACCTCCTTACCTTTTTTTTGTTTTATTTTGCAAAACCAAAGTTCCCCCTAATTATTCGATATGTCCACCTCGCCCAATTCGTTTTAAAATTAGCGTAACAATAACTTGTTTCCGTCTGACAGTAAAATAGTTTAACTTTTTCTTTTTTTTTTTCTTTTTCTTCGTTCAAACATTCTTCATTTTTTCATAATTTTAAGCATGTCAAGCTGGCCATTCGATGGGCAAAACACTTCCGATTTAGCATCTGATGGGATGCCACGGTAGGAGGGGAGGCGTAATTTCTTCTCCCACTGCTTATATGTCCACTGCATGGGGGGTAAGTACGCTATGGGCTTCATAGCTAATGTAGGAACGTGCGTATTGGCGTACTGACCTGTTGGCATGAAGCATGCTTATCAGCTCATCAGTAGGTTTGCCTTCCCTTTCTCCTCTTTTTTTGCTGTATTTTTGATGTATTTCTGCTCTATTTTTTCTGTATTTTCTCCTCTTCCAAGGAGTGGCTTCTCCTTCCAGCGGGACATACCAAAATGAAAGGAAGAAAAAAATCTTCAGCGGGTCCCCCCAAAAAAAAATAAAAGGCGCGACGATTGGTAGCACCTGACAAGAGGCATTCGCCTTCCCCCAATGCATCAAGGAAAAAGGGATGCTTACACGTGCAAGAGTTACTATCCCATTTGGAAGCAAATGTAAAGCGGGAAAAAAACATCGTTCGCTCCAAGAAGTTAGGTTATTTCGCCCCCCAGTGCCATAATGCATACATGATGCGTGTGGTTATGAATAGCTACGCGCATTTATATATACATGGACATATATTGACAATTCATGAACTCGTGAAAGGCCAGTGTGACCACGGGACGGCTGGCTTTTCTCCTCGCCACCTCCCCCACTCTGTTTCGTGCTAGACGTAAAAGAGCACACACGAACATTTGTACGGGTATGCCACCTTATTATCAACCACCCCAAAAAAAATTGGCCAAAAGGAAGGTCCCCCCAATTTTGTGAATCGCCTAGAACAAGGCAAATTCTGTGAAGAGACCTCAAAATGTTTTTCCCTCTTTCCGCGTTAATTCCCTCCGTCAGGTTACCCAAATGCCCCATAAAAGAAAAACGCGGTCGCATAAGTACGTGACTATATATGCACATATATCGTCCTGTTTGCGTAACACCGTCATGTTTGGGTATGTATAGCCACGTGGTTATGCTTCTCTCCCCGCTCGTGCGGCTGTCCACCATACACTCGTCGCCGGCGTAAAGCTGAGCACAGAGGGGAAGCAAAAACAACAATGAGGGGGGCCCAGACAGCACATACTCTTCCAAGATGGAGGCGATCGGCGAAAGCGCGCGCGTGCGAATGAGTTACAACGACTTCATCCTGCTGCTGTCCGTGTGCTACTCGATCGGAGACATCTTACTACAGTGGAACGATTTTTCCAAATGTCACAAACCAATTCACGTATGGCTAGTGGTCTCCTTCATAACTATAGTGCTCTACCGATTGTCTCATTTCCTGGCACAGTATTTAAGCAACGATGGAGATGACCTTATCATATATAGACGAAACACTCCCCCGTACTACATCAACCTGTTAGTCCTGTGCGTCTTGTTCCCATTCTTTCTCGTATGGAATGTAGTGGGCACAGTGTGGATATATCAAATCATTAAATATACGCCGAAATGCCTGCCAAGAAACAACCATCCATGGTTCATTGTACTGTGGATTGCCCTTTGCTATGTGTGGATCCTGCTATACTTATTTTTCATTTTGCTGTCCCTATATTTGGAGTACCAGGCAAGAATCTACGAGAGAACACTCATCAGCATGCAGAACAATGACATATTCAGCAGGTGGAGTGGCAACATCGACATGATGAGAGATTATGGAATATTCATTTATCGACAGGGGCTAAGACTGAAGCAAATTGAGAACCTACCATATCATTATATTAAGAATGTTCAGAGCGAGTCCAAGTGCTCCATCTGCCTGAACGACTTCCAGGTGGGAGAATGCGTGCGGACGTTGCTTCTCTGCAGCCATACCTTTCACAAATCCTGCATCGACTTGTGGCTTGTTAGGAGCGCCACTTGTCCCAACTGCAAATCGCCAATCGCGTCACAAGGCGTCTTTGTTAATGTGTAGCACGAAAGGGCAGTCAAATTGTAAAGAATAACATCCACCGTGCAGTGCACAGCAGGATGTGTTAAATGGGAACTAAAAAAAGGGGGAAAAAAAATAGCCAGATAGATAGCTAGCTGGGTTGAGCTAGCCAAATATATATACGAATAAAACTTGCACACAGTTGGAAATATTATTGCTTATTCAGGCAAAACTAACTACCTTTTCTTTTTTTTTTTTTTTTTTTTTTTGCACAACCGGAGAGTTCTGCTGACCGGTCAGGTAAAACTGCTTGCAAAGTGGCTCCCCATCCGTAGTGCATAAGTAGAGCAGATCTTGCACATTGCACATCTTGCACACCTTGCAGACATCTCCATTTTATCGCTGAGCACATGCGTGACCTCATGGTCAATGCTCAAATGGCTTCTGCCACCGTCTTCAACATTTAAGTATGCTCTTCATCGTTACCTCCCCTTTAATGATATATTTCCTTTTTTTCTTCTTCTTTTCCTTTTGTTTATTTCGTTTCTTCCTTATGAACTACGTATTTTTCTTAAAATTTGCGATCAAACTACGTGGAGATACAAAAGCTCTCCTTTTTATGTATCACTTCTTTTCTTCTTTTCCAATTGGTGCAAATGGCATATTCGCGTAATGTGCGTCTAATCAGATCTCCGGAGAATGGATGGAATATGGCCCCGCCTTAGCGCGCCGGGCAAGAATACTCTCTGGCAGCCGAGATACCGCACGGGATATAACACTGTGCAGGTGTCTCCCCTGTCATGCCAACGCCGCATTGGCGTAGCACGGCTTCACCGGGAACACGCTGGCCGCCATAAATTCCGACAAGTCTCTCGCCGAAACAATCCTGTCAGATATGGACGTCCCGGTAATCCAACTCGAATCAACAAATAAGTTCCGGTACTCCGGGTTATGCAGCTCGTTTAGGAAGCATTTCAAATTCCTTTCGTAGTTTTGCGAATAGAAGGGGATAGAGTCAATCCACTTCTTCACCTTGAGGATAACAGGTTGGGCATTGTTCTCTACATGAAATATTTTTGTGAGTTCTCTGGACACTATCTCGATTATGTCTTTCTCCTCCATGTAGACATCATTAGGGTTGTTCTGTCCCCCCATGTATAGGGTCAATAGAACAACACTGTCGTCATTGCACCTCTCCTTGAAGATGTTGCTTGTGTAGAAGCAACCAAGAATGTGATTCGTTTTGTCGGCTGACAAAATTCCAAAGCAGTTTGGGGGTAGGGTTATGTCCTTCTTATGGTAATACACTATAACGCTAATGAGGCTTGAGTATTGGACATTTACAAGATTGGCCTTCATTTCTGGGGGCAAGATTTTTCGCATGATATTGGCGCATGTCTTGGAGTTCACCGTAAGGATGACATTTCTCCCGTATATACAGGAGGTTTTCCTCGAGTGTTTTCTTCTCATGGTGCAGACCCAAGTATCTTCGTTGTGCTTTTCAACAGAATCGACTTCTTCATTCGTCCACACATATTTTTTATTTATATTTTTTTCTAGTTTGTCAATTATTTCGTACATGCCATATTTCAAGGATATTGTTTTTCCTAAGATTTTTTTTTTTTTTTTTTTTTCTTCATATTCGTTGGAGTCCTTTTTGGCTAGCTGGGGATAGAGCGGCGGCATGACCTGAAGGACGGCGCGTTTGCATTTTTGGTAGATTCGCTTTACAAAGTGGAGGTACACTTCCACGTGGGGGGTGTCCACGAAAGGAGGCTGGCCCTTCATGGTGTCCATCCCTGCGTGGTGGCCGCTTGTCTCCTCGATGGCATCCCCTCCAACTGTGTCCCACCCGATGGTTTCACCGTTGCGCGTGTCCTGTCTGTGCATAACATTGTTGAAGGAGGAGGATTGGTCGTACTCCCCATTTATTCCTCGCGCATATGCGTGTTGGAGGCCCACGGAGATGTGTTTCCCTCCCGTTGGCGTTTTTCCTTCATTGGAAGGTGCAGCGGCACAGCCAACTTCATCCCCTCTCAGGCTATCAACTCTGCACAGTCCACCCCCCATGCGCTCCTTCCACACGCGCAACGTGTTCAGTTTATTATCACCAAGTTTGAGGTTGCGCGAAAAAAAGGAGACGGCCGAAATGCTACCCACCCCCCCACATGATCCATAAATCAGAGGTAGCAACAAAAAGTTGTAGTGTTGCAAATCGAAGTTCTCCCGCATGTACTCTTCCACACTAATGTCCTCATCGTACGCACTCAATTTTTTGTACCGCTTGAATAGCAGCTTGAATATTAGCTTCACTTTATTGGTCACACTTATAAGGGGGAAAGCAAAGTAGCCCCAGATATTCAGACGGAGGGGGTATAGCCCTCCACATGCGTATACGTATCTAAGAAGCCTTCTATTTAGGACCCTTACATGTGACAAGAGGTTCAATTCTTTGAGTAGCTCGTAACTGTCATCGGATATTTTAAGTATGTTTGGGCCCAAGTCGCAGAGGAAGTTCTTCCCTTTATCATCTCCTATCCATTCTGTTTTGATATACCCTCCCAGTGTTTGCTCCTTCTCCAGTATCAGGATCTTTATGTCTGGTTTTTTTCTCTTTAGATAGTAGTGCAGGCAACAACTGAAGACTCCTCCGCCTACGATGATGACATCATACGTGTGCTGCTCGGGCGAGACACCCGCTTCAGCTCCTTCATCCTCTCCTTCCGGCACGCCAGCCTCTACTCCCCCTTCCTGCCCATTCATCCCCTTGTGCGCGATGTCTATCCAGGCGGAGCTACAAGCGGGGGCACCCTTCTTCACGGGGGGAGAAGCCGGGCGTACTCAGCAGGGAAAACGAATGCGACAAATGGGACACATAAAATGGGGAGGAGGAGCAAGAAGCGGAGGAAGAAAAAAGAAGGACGGGACCAGTGGTCCATCGGAGGGACGGATGGTGCATCGAAGAGATGAGTGTTCCATCGAACGGAGGGGAGGTCTGCCTAACGAACTGCGGTGACAACTCAACGGATGGTGGGACATCTCAACGGGGTAACGAGGCACTCCCTCTTCTTCCCCCACAGGAAGGAATGTACACGTGTTGGGGGGAACAAACAGGGTGGAACGTAGTCCTCCCTATTGTGCTGTTCAGAAGGATCGAACATTCAACGCAATTCGAGGGGATCAAATTGGCCACATTGCGCAAATGACAAGTAGGTTACCTTTTATGTCATTACGCAAAGGGGGGGAAGAAAAAAGAAAAAATTAAGAAAAAAAAAAAAAACAGCAATAAAAAGGAGGGCTATAAAAAGGTGTGTTGTATTAGCGGTGGAGATACGCACTGCTGCTCGTATGAGGGCAGCCAAAGAGGTGGCGACACGAATGGGAGAAGCAAACAAAAAAAGAGATGATTGAGAGTGGGCAAACGGTCAGGTTGGCAGACGGTCCTACGCCAGCTGCTACTCCAGTTGCTACTCCAGTTGCTAGCCCTACTGCTACCCCTACTGCTACCGCTACTGCTACTCCAACTGCCTCGCCAACTGGCTTGTCATGCAACTCTCCTCAGAAGAATGGCCCAATTATTAGTATCGAAAAAAAAATCTTCGATGCGGACTCCGCTGATGCTTAAGCACAAGTCATGGAGCTCCTCCTTCCTAAACACGTGGTAGTATCTCTGGAGCTTCTGCAGATCTGCACGGCGGAGTAAAAACAGGAGTTACTCAAAGAAATGCACGGTAATAAAACTGTGCACAAAAAGGAAGGTTAGCGCAGGATGGCGGTCGTCACGGTGATGTCGGCATGCCGTTGTGTGGAGAGGGGCCAACTAAGCCCATCCCCTTTCTCGCGTTGACTCAGTGGGCCAGGAAGCCATGAACCGAACAGAACCAACAAGCCAACTCACGACCAAGCAACACATCATTGCGGTGTTAAGAAACGGGCAAGAGAGAGAAAAAAAATGTACATTCACGCGCAGAAGCGTATTCGATTGCCTATTTTTCAGCACTGTTGCAACGCTTTACCCTTTTTGGCTGGGTGGAGGATTTCCCTTTCAACCGCTTCTGCTTCGTTCACGTGTTCACTGCCTTCCAGGGTGTGCTGCGGCTGAAGGTACCAGGGAACGAAAACTGCCCAGGGGGGGAGGAGACCAATCAATGTAGATAGTTAGCATCCCATGAGTATGCGCTTGCGCAGAGGGGACCCCCCTTAGGGGCTCTTATCCATGGGAACACATATCTACGCGGGCAAGCCGCCGGGCTTACTGTCCTGGGAATCGAACTTCCGGTTGCCGACCACGTTCGCCTGCTGCTCGTAGGCCCTGCGATGGAGTGAAGGGAAGGGTCGCAGCTATGAAGGGAAGCGCCTATGAGGGGAAGCGGCTATGAAGGGAAGCGGCTATTACGCGACGTAGTTATGAATCGACGCAGCTGTGAAGCAACGCGGAGAGGTTACGCCCCCCGCAGCTGTGCCACTTACCAGACGTATATCAGGATCTTGCCCCCAACTTTGGTACATCGGACCATCTCAGCCACTGCATTTCGTCTGTAAAGAGAAGAAAAATGGGGAAAGAGTGTTGGGAGCATGACCGGTAGTGTTCTTCAAGGGGAGACACGTCAGATCCTTATCGTTCATCCTACTCAGTTACCGTTTTGCATGCGTGCCGATGTGATGAATCACCGCGATGGAAATGCACAGGTCGGCTATGTCTGCGGGGAGGGGAGGAAGAGGAGCCGTTTGCATGAAGGGGATGGTGAGGCTAGGCGGAGCTACTAAGTAGAGGCGCTAAGCAGAGGCGCTATGTAGAGGCACCACGCAGAGGCACTAGGTGGAAGCACTACGAAGTTACTCTCCATGGAGTGGCAGCCCCACGGCGCACAAGCGCTGTAGTGCGATCCTCCGCCGAGACATACTCGATCGAAAAGGTATGCTGACACAGTTGGCAAGGAACAAATCCGAATTCCACTTCTTCTGGGCAAGCCTCAAAAGGTGCCAGCTGAAATCCAGACCAATGAAAAAGTACTTCGATGAGACCTGCACGTTTTTGCCGTTGCCACACCCTACGTCCATGATTAGGTTTCCCTCCTGTTCCTCGTTGATGAGATTTTCTACGTTGTTCCAGGATTTGTACCTGTGGGGGGAACGGTATCCGGGGGGGTAATGGTGTAGCGCAGGGAGGGGTAGCATTTCCAGAGAAGGCTGCTTCGACAGACGAACTTTCCCTCTGGCTGCGACTCCTGATGGTGGAATTCGCCTCTTGGAGGTGGTAGTCAGCACCACGTCACTACACCAAAGCAGCACGCTTTAGACTCCCCACCTGGTGTAGCAAAAATGTTGCGCTATCTTGTTATACACATCGAGGACGTAGGTCCTCTCAATGTTATCCGAGTTGTCACGTCCAACCTCTACCGAGACGCAGCTCTTCTCTTGTGGTTCGTCCTTAACCTTCTGGTTCCTGTGCTTCTGGGTTAGCATTTTCTTCACGCTGGGCTCGTCAATGAAGCGGAAGATAATTAAGTAGCTGTCCTTTCGCCGCATCGTCTGCATGCAGGGTGGAAGGCACAAACGAGTGGCAAATGTTTTTGAAAAGGCTCTCTCTCCAGGATGTGCTCCATCTAGGTGCACCAAAAAAAGGAAAAAAAAAAAAAAAAAAAAAAATAATAATTTCCCTCTCTAAGCGCAACAAGGTACCTCCCCCTCCAATGGAAGCGTCTTCTTCTTGGGAATCCCAAAAATGAGTTCGTATCTCCTTCTGCCCTTAATCTTAATGAGGGTATTTTTCGCCACAATTAGGTTCGTTTTGGTTTCTGCGCCGGGGAGGGGAGAAATGGATATAGATGTGTAACCACGGTTAGAACATTTTGCACAGTCTCCCCGCTGACGAAGTGTGTGTGTGTCAGGTGACAGTGAAGACGTCCCACATCATTACCATTTCGAATGTCGAGGAAGGACATGGGTAAATCGTTCTTCATAACTAAGAAAGCTATTTCGTCCTAACGACGGGGGTAGGGGCGATGAAAGGCAGAGAAAAGAGAGAAAAATCATCACGCTGTGGGGCATCAATTATAAGAATGTGCACTGGGGGTGACAAGAATGAGTGGGCATCAATCTGTTAGTGCCACCCCACCCCACGTGGCATCGCTCAGGTGCTGCTCCGTGTGAACTCACCTGGAAAATATGCCTCGACTCGATGACATACTCCACAGCCTTATTCACGTGACATTTCAGGATGGAGATCTGGTTCGGTTGGCGGCCGTCCAGAAGGACCCGTATGCGGTCGAGGCACTCCAGAGAGAAGAACAGGCGCGGGTCCTGGATGCAGTACGATTTGTATATTTTGTTCGGCGTGCTCCGGCAGAAGTAGTGGCACAAGTTGATCTCTGCGGTGGGGGGAGGTGGAGACGTGGTGGATGGGCGGTGTAGACGTGGCGGCGAAGTGATGTCGAAGTGTTTACCGCGTGGCTGCAATGCCGCCTTCACGGGGCCGCAGAAACGTACCATCATTTTTGGTGTACTTAAGCCACTGTTCCTGCTCGTACGTGCGGATAACCTCCTGAGTAAAGTCTTCGCCGATAGCGTCCGCTTGGATGGAAACGTCATCCCGGCTGCTAGGAGCGTTGAGTTCGGAACCGTTGAGTTGGAAACCGATGTGGGATTCGCACCCCGTGTGGGTTTCCCTGCTATCTTCCCTCCTAGCTTCCTTTCCGGGGAGGCCTCCCAGCAGGCCGGATAAATCCCTCGAATAGACGATGGGGGAGTCTTCCTTAATGTCGTATCGCACATTCACATACTCCGCCTGGATGTGCGTTTTGCCCTCCGGCTGTCCCTTTGGAGGGTTCTGGAGGGGAAAAGAAAACGCACGCGTGATGGGAATCCTCCCTGGAATGGTCACTTCGCAGGCGGACTTGGCATGCTAACTTGGCATGCTCACTTAGCACGCCACCCTGCCACGCTGATCTGTCCAACGGCTCCACCTTACGTGGTTCAAAATGTTGAAGACATAAGAGGAGTCCTTCTTTTTGTAAAACTCCACGTAGACGACATTCTGCTGCAGTATCAAATAGACCATGAAGGTCAAGTCCAGGTTCTGAAAGAAATTTATGATGTCATCTTCCTCCCAGGTTAGAAGGCCTATCCCCTTCAGCCTCAGCGTGTTGGTGACTTTGTGCGTTCGGTTGTAGTACCTGCGGGGGGGGAGCGACAAGGTGTATCGACCAGGTGTAGCTGCCAGGTGTAGCGGCGTGGGGGAAAGACTCGCCGCACAAAAAGGAAGAAACCAAACAGACGGGGTAAGTGTCTTTCCCTCCTTCGCATTCCTTACTTGACAGGGTACGAATCGAGGGATACCTTCACGAAATTCATCTTAGGATGTCTTAATCGTTATCACAGGGAAGGTGCCATGGGGAAAATCAGAGGCCGGGATCTGGTGTCGACATTCTCCGCCACGGTGAAGAGAAATACTCATGCCTTTTCCACCCATAAAAAAAAAAAAAAAACTTACCACTTTATAATTTGCAGCAGTTTATATCTATACAAATGCTTCTTCACCAAGAAGAAGAAAAAAAAACATTTTAATCATCCTTTGCTTTTACAAACGATTAAAAATTGGGCAACCCATGGGGGGAACATACAACTAGCGAAATGTATCGGGTGAACAGAATGGAAAGCACATTGAAAAAAAAAAAAAAAAAAAAATAAAGAAAATAGCTAAAGACCAGGCACAGTGGCTCACGCCTGTAATCCCAGCACTTTGGGA